TGGTGGCCACCCGCATGAGAACGATGGGGATCGTTCTGCTGGTGGTGATCGGAATCGTCGCGCCCCAGCCTTTTCGCTCGGGTTTGGTTGCGACGTGGCGTGGGACAGCTCGGGATTCACTTTTTCGCCGAGTCTTAATTTTGCCGATATCCTGCTCGGGGCGCTTTGTACTTGCTGGCCCTTGGGAGCTCGGAGGCTTGTTTTTGCCAATTGCTTACCCTTGCGCTTTCGGCGCTGCAGTGCTGCGGCACGTGCTATTTCCCTTGTCATGCTTTCGCGCGGCTTGCAGGGTTTTTGGCGGTTGCAACGCCAGACTGTCGCGGACGACATGCCTTGGTCCAGACGGTCCAGCCTCTGGTTGACCGTCTGGAGAGTATTGTCGAACCTCTCCAGGTAGCTTCGAATGACAGGGTCAGTTGCAGAGCCGTTGGGGTATTCCCAATAGCATTTTGCGAAACTGGAGGTACGTTGGAAGGGGTGCCTCTGGGCTGGGGGGGACTCCTTCTGCATGTTGATTCCCCTGCTCAGGTTCGATTGGCGGGCCATTGTAGCTGTAAGACCAGTAGGTCAAAGGTTTTCCTGATGAAGGACGACGCTAAATCAAGCCCTCCTTCTAGCGCCAAACTGTTGATGCTCGATTTGCGCACCAACCAATTGTCACGTGGGTGACACTGTTTTATGAATTTTATGCTCGTGACAATGGATGCCTTTTACAGAAATAAATGAAAAGGGGCTTTTTAAGTGGTTCGGATGCTAAGGTAGCAAATCCTATATCCACTGATTTTGTATTGATGTTGGTGTGGGTCAGGTGCTAAGCGGACTGACGTAAGAGAGTTAATAAAAGAACTTTGCTCTTACTTTTTACAAGAGAGAGAGTTATCTCTGGGTAATGAATGAACCCCCCCCCCCCCCCCCCCCTTAATGGTGAGGTTTTCTACATTTTATATCGAATGGAAGCGTGTAATCATCATAAATCTACGGGTTGGTGTGATTGTCAGGATGTCATCATCTTCAGTCCGTTTTTCTTTTCCAAGCTGACTTTGCATGACTTGCTGCGGAGAGACGGACGCGTGTGAGCTCCATGTTTATTCGCAGGTCTGACGTGCGCACATTGTCCTGACGGGGGCAGGTTACTCCTGACGCGACTCCTTCCACGTCAGCTCTTCATTTTCCGTGCATAACAATTTAAGTTACTTTACATCATTGGCAAAGATTATTATTGGGCGAATGAATTAATTTTCTTGGCGTTGGTTCTAAAAAATAATTATCTTTTTTTACCAATAACAAAAGAAAAAAATTTAAGCAAATATAGAAAAGGCATTGAAAAAAATTGATTTAAAATAAGGTTTATTTTTAAAATATAGCATTGTCATGTGTTTTGTGTATCACCGGATTAAAGCAGACAAATAATTATCTAGAAAATATATAATTACTTAAAAAAATTAAATCATTTAAACATATAATTAAGGGTTATCAACATAATTTTTTAAGAAAGATACTATCTGGTCCTCATAATTTATCTTTTAAAAACACCTCACTTTTCTGGTATTGAATTGGATGAGATTGAATTGTATTAAATGTAGTATTGTCATTGATAGCTTGACTTAAAACCACATTTTGGTTTTATTTGTTTGATTATCCACCCACGTTTCTCACCTAGTAGAGGTTTTTACATCACACCCCTAAGGTTTAGGGGAAAAAATACAAAGAGACCCATATAGCTTTGGAAATTAATTAGAAAGTAAAACAAGAAATTAGTATAAGAAAAGGAAGGGTTGATTCACAGCTTACAGGAAATTAATTAGAAAGTAAAGCAAGAAATTAATCAGGAAAGTAAATACAATAAGTTTTGGAGGAAAAAATTAATAAAATAAAAGAATGCATTTGGACCATTGAATTATAAAAATGACACATGGCTTAGATTAAAATTAAATGATGAGAGGATTTATTTTCTAATCCGTTAACAATTTCAAATGTGTTAATGTCATTAAAATGTTTCATTTTTGTGGTTAATACTTCAAGTTCCTTTGTCTCTTCTAATTGCAAAAAATATGGACAAGTCCTTATACTTGGGGTGCTTTTGGGGCCTCAAATTGGTTTGAACTAATTTTCCGGCATTGAATTGGATGTGATTGACTTTTGTTAAATATAGCATTGTCATTGATAGCTTGACATAAAATCACATTTTGTTTTCTTTGCTTGAGTATCTACCCGTGTTTCTCACGCACTAGAGGTTTCTACTTGACACCCCTAAGGTTTAGGTAAAAAAATAAAATAAAAATTAAAAAAAAACCATAAGATTCAACATGAAACACTTACACTAACTTATAATTGACAGTCTCTTTATAAAAATTTAATTTGGACACTACAATTACTAATATACCTTTGTTTTGTCTCTTCTGATATAATAAGAAGAATTTAATATCTAACATTTGTTACAAGATGAAATATCAAATATATTAAATGATTTAAAAGATACTAAACTTTGACAATTATAAGACATTTAGGAAATAAAAACTTTCTATTTTGGCTTGTGTTGTCCCTCTATTACAGGTCGTAAGTGTTTCATTATTAAACTATGAATGTGTCAGTGTTTCATTCTGAAACATGTGGGTCTCCTTGGTCTTTCAATAAATATTTTTCTGACACAGCTATTTTAAGTTATTATAATTTTTTTTTTCTGCTTACATTCTTGTCTTTGTAGTATTAGTAGCTATCAAATAATTAAAGCTTGTATTTATTTTCATTTTGTACGTATTATTAAAAGAAATGTCATTGATAGACTGACTCAAAACCACATTCTGTTTCATTTGCTTGACTATCGACCCACGTTTCTCACGCAGTAGATATTTTTACTTGACATCCCTGTGGTTTAAGGAAAACTAAAAGCCCCACATGTTTTGAAATGTAACACTTACACCCTTAACAATGAGAGATACCTTGTGAAAAAACAATTCCAAACACCACAATGACTAATATATCCTTATTTTTTCTTTTCGTCCTCAATAAGAATAATTTAATATCTAACATTTCTATTCCTTGCTTATATATATATATATATATATAGTAGAACCTCTCAATAGTGATACCTCTATATAGGAATAAACTCTACATAGTCATAAAAAATTATAGTCCCAATTTGGGATAGTTATAAATAAGAATAAACTTTACATTGTAATAAGTTATAATTTTTCTAATTCTCGCCTTAAGGAAAGTTGCCTCTACATAGTAATAATTATATGTATATTACAAAAAAAAAAAAAATATATGTTATGTAAAATTAAAGGTTTAAAATGAAATAAAATAATTATTTAAAATTATTTGGGACAATGATTTATGCTTTTGAGTTGTTATCACATCTTTTACCTTATGAGTACGTAATAGCTTGTTAGCATAGATACCTTCTTGTTGAAGCCAAAATATTTTTAGTTTCTCAAGCATATTTAGAGCTTCATGGCACAAGACTTTTTGTATTTACATACTATTATCCTTAGGATTATTTCCTTTCTCTTCTTGTCTAATTGCAACAATGATTTCTCCTTTAGTTAAAGCATACACGATTTACTACTCATTTAGATAATCAAAGAAGACATTAATATTCATTCGATTAGTATAGTGAAGTTGTCGAATCTGATCACTCAATTCTATAGTGACTCTTTTATTCTCCTCATCCACTTCATTTGTAACTTACAATTCACTAATGTTTGTGATATGGCACTTGATACTCACACGTGGAAGTCAATTTATTTATTGGGTGGTCAATGTAATTTGTCAAGGCTTAAGGGGCATTTTAGTCTTTCTGGCATCTTCAATTGACCTAATCTGTTTTAGGTCATGCGCAGCCCTTTCTCTTCCCATTTCCCTCTTGGTTAACAGAGAGAGAAAACGGTTAGAGATGTTGTGCTGGAAATCCGAAGAACGTCCATGGAATCAACGGTGATGGTAGGTCTTAGTTGTCCTATATCGTTTGTCCTTTGCTTTGCTGTATAAATTGATACTAATTTATGCCTATTTGATTTGGAATGAGTGGTGAGAGCATCCGGGTGTACGGGTGTAAAATCAGATGGTTTTGTTTCGGGTTTGTGCCTTGTGTAAAAGGGGTGAGCTGATTTTTCTGTAAGGTTTCTTATTTACTCATAGTGAAACTTTTTCTTTTGCCCTGAAGAAGTGGATGTAGGTAATCTTTCAGATTACTGAACCACTAAATATCTAGTGTTATTCTCTCTTTCCCTTATCTTTTATTTTGCTTAATCATTATTACTGTATGTTTGTGGTGGATGCTTGGTTTGGTTACGACAATATTTGTTCTGTGTTGGGTTTCATGTTAGAACAATTGACATTAATGGTTCTAATTTTGTAGCGCTTAAAACCATTAACAATTGTCTGTGACTTCACATCAATTGACCATGCATCAACTATATTTATAGTTCTATCAATGACACTTATTTTTGTTGGTTCTAAGAAACGATATTTTATTTATCAATGACACTTAGTTAGTCCCACTATTATGACTATAGAGAGGTTTTACTATATATATATATATATATACATATATATATATATATATATATATATATATTAGGTAATAAATGTGTCAAATGTCATTGATAGCGTGACTTCAAACTGCATTTTTTTTTTTTCTTGACACCCCTGAAGTTTAAGCAAAAAATAAAGAGCCCCGCATGTTTCAAAAGGAAAATCTTACACCTTTAAAATTGAAATACACTTTAGAATAATGTTTAATGTACTTTGGAATAATGTTTAGCAAACACCTTGTAATTTTTCTCATAACTGATTATTTTTACATGAAAATTTGAAGCGATTGTACTAAATATTACATCAATAGCAAATTGATTCTAAAATAATTAGTTTTATTTTATTTTTTAAAAGTAAATTCATGTCCTTTTTTTTTTACAATAGTCTATGCCTAAAAGATGATGAAACTACTTTATTATTTATGGAAAGAGAAAAAATTATTTAGATAAATTAACATTATTATAATTTATTTATTTGCTGTTGAATGTTGGCCTATATATACAGGCCTTTAAGTATGTCCGGCTTAACTTTGAAATTTTGTTTCACTCTCCTCCTGTTTGTCTTGAACTCCGTCTACTATTGTTCTCCACGTCCTTCACTTCACATTGAAACCTTTCTTTTAGCTACGAATTGCATATCCCACTCCCCAAAACTAAAACAGGCAAGTCTTTCAAACCTGTTTTTTTATTTTTTTCTATTTTTTTCTTTTGTGGAGTTCTATTTTCTGATTATTTCATTAATCCCATGTATTTCACCTATTGCTACCCATTTGTTTGAAAAATTGGACCCTAACCCCCACTAAGGACACCATTGTTAATCAACAAAATGACAGTTACCCTTTTTTAATCCGAACACCGAACGCTCACTACTCAGAAGGATGACACTTTGACCCTTGTTCAACTCGAACACCCAACCCCATGCGTAGCCATTGCTGTCGCCGGCGCCTCTAGCGGCTTCCTTGAGGTCAGTAGAGGCTTTGTCTATTAATATTTATCTATAAAGAATTGGGATTGACTAGAGGGTGGTTACTGGGGATCACCACTGTATTACTCACAAAAGCTCTTATAAAAATTCCACTATAATTCTTTCTAACAATATAAATTAAGCTTCTTGTAGGGTTGCCACGATGTCGACAGATGAATCCGTAGCATTAATTGTTTCTACTTCACCGCCTCAAGCTCCAGAAGGTAAATTTTGATGTTACCTGTTGAAATTATGTAAAAAGTGATAGATTTTAAATTGATTTAATCTAGGGGCGTAACCTGAAATTATTTTTTACCTGGTCTAATTTTTTGTGTTCCAATACAAAATAATTTATAAGTATGAGAAAAATTATAGTCAACCTTATCATATCACTAAATACGTGTTCTTAAAATTAGAGATTTTTTATTATAATTATAAATACTTAGAGAAGTTTTTAGAAATGCAGAAGTGATTTGAAGTAGAAACAAATCACGAAAATGAATTAAAATAATGTTTACAATAATTAAAGTTCTCTCTTGATAATATTACAAACTTTTATTTGTTATTATCTTCTTTTTCTTTCCTATGTGTTAGAATATAATTGCATACTGTAAGAGAATTAAAGAGTGATTATCTTAGAAGAGTTGAAAAAAAAAAAAAAAAAATTGAGAGATGGACTGATGGAGAAAGATATTTAAAATAATGAAAAATAAAAGAGTGTAAAGTGTAAAAAGGGAAAAACAAATAATTTTAAAGGTAATTGTATATTATACAAAAGATTTTTTTTTTTTTTTTTTTTTTTTTCATCTATGTAAAACTTGCTCTTGCCCATATATGATATATATTATATATACATAAATGTAATATCAGGAGACTTTTTCTTGTTTCAAATTGGCAGAAACGGAAATCAGAAGACACATAAAATTGTATCAAGCTGCACTACGTGGTGATTGGAAGTATGTGATAGATTCACGTAATATAACAGNTTTTTTTTTTTTTTTTTTTTTTTTCATCTATGTAAAACTTGTTCTTGCCCATGTATGATATATTTTATATGTACATAAATGTAATATAATGAAACTTTTTCTTGTTTTAAATTGGCAGAAACGGAAATCAGAAGACACATAAAATTGTATCAAGCTGCACTACGTGGTGATTGGAAGTATGTGATAGATTCACGTAATATAACAGCTAAGTTATCTGAGAAAGAAGATACCGCTCTCCACATTGGGGCTATGGCAAAGTCCTGTAAATTTGCTAGAGAACTGCTTCGTAAGCTGGATAGATTAGAGGATTTAGTTGTGAGAAATAAATCTGGCAATACGGCTTTTTGTCTTGCTGCTGTATCCGGAAAGTTGGAACTTGCCAAGGAAATGATAAAAGTTGCCAAGAAAATGGTAGAGGATGAGAACTATGGAAACTTAGAAATGGCAATGATAAAAGAGAACGAAAATGGAAACTTAAAAGAGGAGGAAACGAATAAGAAATTAAAAGAGGAGATAAAGAAGAAGCAATTAGAAGAGGTGGAAATGATGAAGAACAATGGAGAGTACTTAGCACAGGTGAAAGGTAATTGGGAAATGTCACCACTTTTGTTCGCAGTTCTCTACGGCAGTGAAGAAATGGTATATTGGCTTTATTATCTCACTAAAGCTTCGTTAAACGATGCTGATCGTATCGTATTGCTTCTTGCACTGATAACAAATGGTTTTCACGGTAAGACTGCCAATGTTACTCAACTTTTTGGATTTAATTACTTAATTAGACTTGTTATCTATGATACGTCCATTTATTGCAACTACATTGTGTTCCACCATTAAAGGCAAGCCCTCTTATTAATTAGATTAGTTGAAATAATATTGGATGAATATGAATCATCTTATCACACATGCTGTCATGTCATTTATGAAATTGGATCAAAATTATGGTAGTTGATCGAAATTAGTCGATCTATTATGACACAAGTGGTAGTTTCTTCATGTCTTAGAGAGAGTTTCTTGATCTTTGTGTGTTATAATATTAAGAAAGATATATAGTTTCTCAATAATGGAAAATTTTAATTTGTTTCTAATTTCTAGACATTCACTTGTAATCTATGGTATCTTGTGAGGGCACAGAAATGAATATTATTAAAATATATATCGTAAAATGTTGTTACTCATGTTCCAAAATTAATGCACAAAAATAATGATGCAATTTACTATTCATAATTAGTTGATTCTACATTACCATGATGTTGATTTTTGTCTTTCCAGAATTTGCGCTGCAATTGCTAGAGGAACACAATGAGTTAGCTACTGCTTATTATGAAACGGAGGAAAAGGAAACAGCATTACATGCCTTGGCTCAATTGCCTGTTGCCAATCAACAAGGAGTTTGGAAAAGAATCAAGAGATGCTTCAACCGATGTTAGTTCTCTCCAATCTTTAAAATCTTCACCATGCCTTGATTAGCTGTACTTTCGTTTTGGATTTTACAATCTAAATTTACATTGTCATGAATTGTGATTTAGCTGTGCAAGTAAGTATAAAGAAAGAAATAAGCAGTTGTGTTGGGCCATGAAGAATGAAGGATCGTTTGCTTGCATACCACATTCAGATAACTAAATTTCCTTATTACCTCCAATATATATCATATCAGTATTCTATTAATACTTTCTTACTTTTATTAAGACATAAGAAATAGTTTCTGTCTTGATTTCTTGATATTTGTTACTTTGTATCTTATAATAGATATTAAGAAAAAGTTTCTCAGTTTTGTGAAGATTTTTAAAATTGATTCATCTCAACATCTGACCTTTGGTGTCTTGTGAGGGCATATAAATAAAGATTATTAAAATATATATTGTAATATCGTGTTTCTAATGCTCCAAAATTAAGGTACACCATAATGGTTAATTTATCAATTCTACATTATCCATGATGTTGATTTTTGTCTTCCCAGATCATACGCTGCAATTGCTAGAGAAATAAGAAGAGTTGGCCAATCAACAAGGACTTTGGGAAAAAATCAAGAAATGCTTCAATCGATGTTAGTCCTCTCTAATCTTTAAACCCTTCAGCATACCTTGATTAGTTATATTTCACATTTTAAATTTATGCAATAATTAAGTTGTTAATTTATCGTTCACATTTTAAATTTATTGAAATATAGAGAATCTTATTCTTCCCTGTTCTTCAAAATGAACTTTGGTTATCTCAGCTTAATTTTTCTGTGAAGTACTAAAGTTGGTTCTACCAAACTCCCAGTTTTATGCAGTATTGAAAAGCAGTCCCCAGAAATGAAACTACTCCAACGCGTTTGGGATCTAGCTACATCCAGTCCTGACTTTGATAAGAACTCATGCATTTTAGAAGTTGCCCGAAAACAGATATTTGTTGCTGCAAAACGAGGAAATATCGAGTTTTTAAAAATACTTATTCGTGAATATCCTGATTTAATATTCCAAATTAATGAAAAGAATAGTAGCATATTCCAAATTTCTGTTAAGTATCGTCACGTGGACATCTTCAGACTTATACATGAAATAAGTTCAGTCAAAGATCTTATAGTTCCCATAACAGATGAAAAAGGCAACAATATCTTCCATTTGGCTGCGAAGTTGGCACCATTACATCGGCTCCATAGCGTATCAGGAGTGGCACTGCAAATGCAGCGAGAATTGATGTGGTTTGAGGTGAGTATCTACACCACTTTTTTCTGCACTAACTATTTCATTGGATCCATATTTCATAAAATTTATATAATTGTAGGAAGTGAAAAAGCTTATGAATCCATTTGATGCTGAAGCTGAAAATTCGTATAGGAAAACTCCTAGAGCTTTATTTAGTCAGGAACACCAGAAATTAAAGGATGATGGAGAGAAATGGATGAAGGACACGGCAAACTATTGCATGGTTGTGGCAGCACTTATTACCACTATGGTTTTTGCTGCAGCTTTGGTTGTACCAGGTGGCACCAGTGACGAGACAGGGACTCCTCATTTCCTTAAAAAAAGTTCTTTCAAAATTTTTATTGTATCAGATGCGATTTCACTGGTATTATCCACTTGCTCCATAGGAAGTTTCTTATCCATTCTCACTTCTCGCTACGCAGAAGAAGATTTCCTTGAGTCGTTGCCAAGACAGTTGCTTGTTGGACTTGGAACACTTTTGTTATCAATAGCAGCAATGATGGTAGTGTTTTGTGCAGCTATTTTTATTCTCTTCAAAGATGGAGTGGCATGGATTCCAATTCTTGTTGCTGCAATTGGTTCTTTGCCAGTCATCTTCTTCATTATACAACATGTGTGGCTCCTTATTGATGTGTGGCGTTCAACCAATGGGAGTAGCTCTATCTTCAAGCCAGGGAAGGGTACTCTTTTCTCCTAAAAAGGGAAGGCAATGAAGCCTTAGAAGAGGAGATAACTCAGTGTCTTCAACGAATAATGCCGTAGTTTGGGTGTATGCTTTTAAGATTTATATAGTTGTCCTTGTCCATCAGAACACTACTATTTCTTGTAAATAAATAAAAGGGACGAGCAATGTCTGGTATTTGAAATGCAGTAGAGGGCAATGAATAATGTCACAATTCTAAAATTTATTGTATTATAACTTTTTGTTTGATAAATAAGGGGTAATTCTTATTTTTACCCCGCAGTTTCCCTATATTAAAAGTTCCAACAAAAATTGAGGATAGATGAAGAAAAAAAAGTAGAAGATGCCAGATATGCGGGTGCAAGTTAATTTTATTTTGTGAATCTGTTTCTTGTTTATATCTATGGCTTAAACATTTTAGATTTAAATCAAGTTGCTTTTGGTCATGACTTAACTTGAGACAAATTTACTCCGCAGTTTCCCTGTATTAATGTTAATGTCTTTGTAGAAATGTCGATAAAGGTTTGTTTAATAGGTCATGACTTAATTTGAGACAAATTTACAACCCTTCATCTTAATTTTAATCCAATGGTTCAAACATGAACAGACATTACATATTACTCACACTCCATTATTTCCCTAAAAAGAAACTCTAATTTAGGATGTTTCACTTCTATTGCTCAACCAAGGAATACTTCATCTAAATGACAAAAACCTACTTAATTGATTTTATTCTTTTCTTTTGCGCGCTAAAACTGAGAGTAAGAAATTAGAAAACAATGAGACAAATTATTGATATAGTTAATTCAATTTTAAGTATTCTTTCACAAGATTTCTTCTTCACTTCAAATGATGGATAAGAAAATACAGTTGTTGGTATTACTCGTATGGAAAAGAAGTTTTGATGTGCACACAACTTTGATTCTAGGAAATTAGTGTAGTACAAATGATTATACGAAATTTAATAATCATACAAAATTAAGTTATTGATTTTGATCACTTCTTTGGATCGTCAATCTGTGTCCTTAAAAAGCCTCTATTGTACAATGGTGTCCCAACACGATAGAAGCTTTGATCATGATTTGCAATTTATTGCTTCTAAATTCTAGACACCACCCATGGGAAGCTCTTGTAACGATTGAACCTGTTGCTCTAGACGAATAGGCCACTTATGTTCCAGAAGCAACTTAGCCTAACCAAAGGTCAGACTTTGAAACATAGCCAAGGTGATAAGACTTCATATGAAACAGAGGAAACAAAGGAAACAGAGGAAACAGAGGAAGATAAAAAAGGAAACAGAGGAAACAAAGGAAAAAAAGATAAAAAAAGGAAACAGCATTACATGCCTTGGCTCAATAGCCTGTTGCCAATCAACAAGTAGTTTGGAAAAGAATCAAGAGATGCTTCAACCGATGTCAGTTCTCTTCAATCTTTAAACTCTTTACCATGCCTTGATTAGCTGTATTTTTGTTTTGGATTTTACAATCTAAATTTCCATTGCCATGAATTGTGATTTAGCTGTGCAAATAAGGATAAAGAAATAAATAAAGGGAGAAATAAGCAGTTTTGTTGGGTCAAGAAGAATGAAGGATCATTTGCTTGCATACCACATTCAGATAACTAAATTTCCTTATTCCCACCGATATATATATATATATATATATATATATAGAGTAATACTACATATACATCATTTTCATACAATATTTCTCATATAACATTATGTGGCAAGATATGAGTGGCTAATTTAAAGTTAAAATTAAACTTTCACCCAATCATATCTTGCCACATAATGTTGTATGAACATGGTGTATGTGTAGTATTATTCATATTTATATCAGTATTCTATTAATACTTTCTTACTTTTATTAAGATATGAGAAATAGTTTCTAGCTTGATTTCTTTATATTTGTTAGTTTGTATCTTATAATAGAAATTAAGGAAGAGTTTCTCAGTTTTGTGAAGATTTTTAAAATTGATTCATCTCAACATCTGACCTTTGGTGTCTTGTGAGGGCACATAAATAAAGATTATTAAAATATATATTGTAATATCATGTTTGTAATACTCCAAAATTAATATACAAATAATAATTAAAGGTGGTTATAGTATGAAGGGAGATGATACTAGAACAGTGGTTATGGTCTGAATAGAACTTCCAAAATCACCTTCGAATTTCTCAACCTTTAGTGATATTACTGCCAGCATGTAAAAATGAGTGTAACCCTGTGAAAATACAAATATGTATAATATTAATTTACCCCCTATATTTGTGTTTTCTTTTTCAGTCCCAAAATTTTCCAATCCTTACTGTACCCCCAACTTGTGCTTCAATATTTGCAAAACTAACAAACCGCCCTCTGAAAATCTTTCCACCAATTATAATCTAATTCAAAACACAAAAATATAATGTAGGCCCTATCAATAATATACCAGCCCACTGATCAATTTCAAAAACTCAACCATACAATATGGGCCATAATATTTATAGACCAACCCACTAAAGAATAAGACCCAAAAGCCCAATTAACATAATTGTGGGCCTCATTTGCAATAGATCGGCCCGCTTAACCAACAACACTCACTAATTCAATTAAAACCCATTTACACATTTTACTTAACTACTTCAATTTAATCCAACAGCCCAACCATTCACTGGGCCCTAATAAGGACAGCTGGCCACCTCAACAATTAAAACCCAACACAGTCCTTACTCTCAACTTATTATGTTGGGCCGAGCCCATCGCTTCATTATAAGCCATCCATGCTTCCAATTTTTATCACACCAAAATTACAATTAGCATATGGGCTTGAAGCCTTTACCCACACCAATTTAAACTGGACCTCCTTTAATTTAGGTCCACCAATACAATTAACACATTAATCGAGTTCATCAACACTACTAAAACCACAAAATAATTAGAAAATGCAAACAATAAAATTAATCATCATTTAAAACCCAAACAATAAAATTAAATACAAAATGCAACTCCTATATCCATCAATATCCCATCAAAATTAATAAAATCCAACAATACCAAGTGGGTATCTCAGTATTTTATTATAGTTCAATAATTTAAACTCTTATAATCATTATCTTGATGACTACAAGGTGTTTAAATTAATTTTAAAAAAGTCAATACAGTGTCTTCCACAACCAAGTTGATTTAAACTTGTACCAATGAAAAAACACATTGAGAGGCACTAGTGTCGCAGTGCCAATGATGGTAGTAGTCTACTCCACTCAATAATCCAGTCTTTCTAAATCAACACACTCCTTCATTGCAAGTTTGACAGATTTTATTTCTGAACTTTATGCACTTTCTGCTCCAGTCCGGTCCCTCTCCCTCATGAAAATCCTCTAATTCGAAACCCACCATCAATTGGCAGCGTATTGGAACAAACAATACTTTGTTTTAGTGGCATGCAAAAACGAAAATATTCTACTTCACGTAAATATTAGAAAATTCTAATATGGCCCTCGAGAGTCGAGTGCATTGATGCCGATGATACAGACAGTGCAGTAACTTCCATATTATTTAGGGGGCGTTTGGTTCAGGAATGTTAGATTATTGAGAATATTGGATTACTAGAAAGATAGATTACTTTGGAAGATTACTGGAAATCTTTAAAAAAAATGTGTTTGTTAGTTGGTGGGTATGTTATATTAATATGTTTGGTTATGGGAAATAAATTGGTGGGTATGTTATTTAAATTACTAAATTGTCCCCCTTTTAAATATTAATATAAGATTATTTTTATTATTAATTTTTGAATAATTTTTTTAACCCCCAATATTTCAGATTTAGCTAAAACACCCCCGCTTATATAAAACTTTAATTTATGACAAAATCACCCCCACCTCCTTCCGTTGCCTGCCGCCACCGCAAACCACCGCCGAAAATCTCCAAAAGTACTTGTGAGTACCTCATCGTGACGAAGAGGCTCCGATATGGCCGTTTCTGGCCATATTGATGGTCGAAAACGACTATATCAGGCCAGATCTAGCTGTTAACGACTGGTTCTATCAATCTGGCCAGAAATGACCAGAATAGTTCTGGCCAGATCTGGCCCTATATGGTCGTTTTCGGCCATCAATTTGGCCGGAAACGGCCATATCAAAGCCTCCCAGAGTCTCCCACCGAATCTCGTTCTTTTTTGGAGACTCCGGTGATTTTCCGGTGGCGGCCCATGGTGGTTGGCTCTCTGTTGGCGGTGGTGGCTGGGTGGCAGTGGTGGTGGTGGCTCGGTGGCAGTGGTGGTCTGTATATTATTTTAAATATAAGGGTATTATTGTCCAAAATTTTAATTAAACAAGGGTAAAATTGAAATAGGATATTAATGTAAATTTGTTTTAAAGTAGGGGTATTATTGTCTAAAAATTTTATTAATAAGGGATAAAATTGTAACAAAAAATGATAACCCTGGTAATCTCAGAATACCTAAGAAAATGGAGGTAATCAGATTACCTCCCATATTATCAATAGTAATCACTATTGGTATTTGAAGATTACCGGTATCTTATATTACTTGACAATCAAACATGGTAATCAAGTAATATAAGATGACATTACCCTAGTAATCCCACATAACCCCCAACCAAACGCCCCCTTAGATAAATGAATATGAATTTAAGTTAACAGTAACACTTAAAAGTTTAAGAGCAGGGCAGGATGATGGCTTTGAGCTTTGAATGGTGATTGCTGTCATTTTCAGCCATCCACTTTTTTTTCTCTTTAATAATCAGTAAGTGTTTGAAATTTAAATGATAAAGGATGATTTATATAAGTATAATATTATATGTATAACATTTTTCATACAATATGATGTATTTAAAGATGATTAAATTAAAAAAAAAATTCTTCTAATTATCTTTTATTACATTATGTTATATGAAAAATGTTATATATATAATACTATTCTTTGTATAATTATTTCCCACCAACTTGTATTGTATTAGTGTTGGATGTAGATAGTCATTGACTATTGTAAATAAACATTAACACCTTCCCATATCATGGCTGGCAGATGACGTAACAGTTGCCAAATCATCAAAATGTCATGTCACTTTCCCCTAAATTAAATTAAAAAAAAAAACCCAAAATTTCAACAATAACACTACAGACACCAAAATATCAGTATCGAATTTTTGTATCAGCCTATATATAACGCGTCTCTTCATTTTTTTATAATTTTTTTCTAGTAAACGGCCGTCCATTAAATTTGGACGGGCGTTTACTTATATGTGGACGCCCCTCCCTATTAAAATAAAATTAAAAAATTTGTAAAACTTTAGGGACGATTGTCTATTAATTTTGGATGGGTGTCCACAAATAATGGATACCTGTTCTTTACCTAAATATGAAAAAAAAAAATTTGGGGATGCCCAAATATGAAAAAAAAAAAAATTATATTAGGTTGTTTGGATGATACCATGTATTTGCTTGCCATGTCAATCTAATGAGTTTGTTAAACTGTCTGCAGGTGGATGTCAGCAACACTAATTGACTTCTATATCAATGTTGTGGCTTTGTCGGTATGTTTAAAGTAGTTAATATTTGCAGTTCTGCTCAAAAGTTAAATCTGGGTTAGCTTCTTATATGGGAATCAGAGTGACTAATCAATACTCATGAAGAACTGTTAATTGGTTGATAACTTGCGTGTGGATTGATACATTTATTTAGTTTTTTACGGTGGAAATTTTTATCAAATTTACACCTCTCTCACAATACATGGTATCACCCAAACAACCCAATATAATTCTTCTGCCAAATCTCAATCTCGTCTCCTACTCATCGAAACGAAACAATGAAGATGTATATCCTGCTATGGGCTTAACTCAAATCTTCAATCGCAAGATTCAATCGCCACGTCCGGTGCTTGTGAGTGAAGAAAAAATGGTGTTATTGACTGAGAAGAATTTCAGCAACTTTATCACTCAGAATCAGCAAGTAATGGTGGTTTTTTACTCATCACAGTACTTCTGGAGAAATAGACTGTCACCAAAATCTTCAGCAGCGGCCATGAAACGTAAGGGCAATCTGGTGGTTGCCAAAGTGGATGCTGAAAAAGAAAAACTGTTGGCAAAGAAGTACAAGATTGGGAATTATCCTACGGTATATTTCTTCTACTACGGTTTCATAGAAGAGTTTTATATTGATCAACAAATTTGGTTACCTGAAGAGACCGGAAAGACTGAGAAGATAAAGCTTACGAAGTGCGAAGATGATGAAGAACATACAAAAGCCAAATGCATGGACGGGCGTCCAAAAATTACGGACGCCCGTCCAAAATTAAGGGACGGTCGTCCACAATTGGTGGCGGGCGTCCCCAAAGATTTTTTTTTTCATATTTGGGTGAAGGACGGGCGTCCATTATTTGTGGACGACTGTCCAAAATTAATGGACGGCCGTCCATAATGGATGGACGGCCGTCCCTAAAGTTTTACAAATTTTTTAATTTTATTTTAATAAGGATGGGGTCCATATTATATGAACCCCTGTCCCTTGAATATGGATGCCCGTCCATATAATATGGATGACGTCCATGTGAGTGAACGACCGTCTAAATTTAATGGACAACCGTTCACTAGAAGAAAATTATAAAAAAATAAAAAGACATGTTATACATAGATCGATACAAAAATTATATGCTAATATAGTGTTATTGAAATTTCAATTCCACCTAAATCTAATCTCTCTCCCACGTCAAACTGTCAACTTCCCTAAATTAGAAATCTCTCTCAAAATTGACCTACAAATCAGTCTTCCACCACCGTCATGCGCAACTCCTCTTCCGAAATAAAAAATTTCTCTCCCAAAATCCAATTGAAACTCTAGAATGGAAATAGAACTCAGCAACGTCATTCGCGACTCCTCTTCCACCACAGCGGGCTATCGTCTTCCACCACCACTCGCCACCGTCATTCGCGACTCCTCTTTTACCACCACATGCTATCCTTTACAAACCCACACGTTTCAGGCCACCAATCTATCCCCTTCCACCACCACCAACCTATCCTTTTCAAGGGTGAATCTTTGAGTTCTTGAATTGGGTTTTTAAGTTGATTTGATTGCTTACTTCTAAAAGTTGTTTAGGATTTTTGAGATTTTCTAATTGTTCATTTTTATATGTTTGATTGAATAGATTGTTGTTTGAACTGATGGCCTTGACACTGATACATAATTTTCTTTTTCTTATTAACTTCTAATTTTCTGTTTGGATGGAGAGAAAATTAAGAACCCAGAAATGGAAAGTTACGTTTTCACTAAGAAAAATAACTTAATTAAAATTTTAAGTTGCTTACAACTGAATTTATGCCCGAATCGGTGATCTATTTTCTTGTATTTTTATCTAAATTTCTGTTTGATTTCTGAGAAAATTTATAACCAAGAAGAGGAAGTTACTCTTTTCACCGAAAGTGATGTTCATATTACAAGGCTTAAAGGATTATATTTTGAATTTTCTTATCAGTGAATTCAATGTAATTTCAAACGAATGGAGATTCTGGGATATCTGCATTCTCTGAAGAGAACAACATATTCTGCTGGAAAGGTACATTCCATGGAAAAAAGACAGTTTCTGAAGGCACAAAGTACAAGTTATCCCTTTCTTTCCCAAGCGATTATCCATTGAAGCCTCCCAAGGTGAAGTTTGAAACCGATTGCTTCCGTCCGAATGTTGATGTCTATGGCAATATTTGCTGGACATTCTTCAGGTAACCTTACTCATTCTGCACTAGTTGTATCCTCTAGATGCATTTGTCTCTATATAGTTTTCATATCATGTCATTTGGTTTAAATTTACAGGATAAATCGTCATGGGCTTATGATGTGAGAACAATCCTGATATCCGTGCAGAGCTTGCTTGGATGTATTCAAATACTCTTTTCTGATTTTGGTGATTCTGACATCTTGTTTTGTGAATTATTCTTATGGTTTCTGCTTTTTCTACTTTATCTTCAGAACCAAACATCAGCTTTCCTCTAAATAGCCAAGCAGCACAGCTATGGAGCAATCGAGAAGGTATGCGCAGAGAGATGAAACTATTTCTATTGGTCATTTTCTAGTAACTCGATATGGGGTTTGTTTATTCATTGCCCTCTAAGATTGTTTTATATATTCAGAGTGTTTAATACTGATCGGTCTTACAGAAAGGTAAACGAAATATTAAACCCATTTGGTTCATATTGAAATGGTAAAAGAGAACAATGGAGAGTACATAGCATGGGTGAAAGGTAATGGAGGAATGTCACCACCTTTGTTCGCAGTTATCTTCCGCTGGGAAGAAATGGTATATTGGCTTTATTATCTCACTAAAGCTTCCTTAAACCATGCTGATCGTATCAAATTGCTTCTTGTTCTGATAAGAACTGCTTTTCACGGTAAGACTACCAATATTCTTTACATTGTTTGACTTTAACTACCTAAAAGAATCATCTAAAAATTTCATATATAATATAATGTGACTAGGTGAATATATAAAATTTGCAACAACAATAATATATTTAATTAATTTGTGAATACCACATTAGTTATAGTATAATGAGATAGGTGATATAACTCGTCAAATTAATCAATCACAATTTTTATATCACATTGTTTGGGACAAAGATCAGATTCCTACTTTATAAGTGTTACATTACTCAACTTTTTGGATTTAATTACTTAATTAGACTTGTTATTTATGATATGTCCATTTATTGCAACTACATTGTGTTCCACCATTAAAGGCAAGCCCTCTTATTAATTAGATTAGTTGAAATAATATTGTATGAATATGTATCATCTTATCACAGTACATGTCATCATGTCATTTATGAATTTGGATCAAAATTAGTCGATCTATTATGACACAAGTGGTAGTTTCTTCATATCTTAGAGAGAGTTTCTTGATCTTTGTGTGTTATAATATTAAGAAAGATACATAGTTTCTCAATAATGAAAATTTCTAAACATCTCACCTGGAATCTTTGGTATCTTAGAGAGAGTTTCTTGATCTTTGTGTGTTATAATATTAAGAAAGATATATAGTTTCTCAATAATGAAAATTTCTAAACATCTCACCTCTAATCTTTGGTATCTTGTGAGGGCACAAAAATGAAGATTATTAAAATATATATCGTAAAATGTTCTTACTCGTGTTCCAAAATTAATGGTCAATTTACTATTCATAATTAATTGATTCTACATTACCATGATGTTGATTTATGTCTTTCCAGAATTTGCGCTGCAATTTCTACAGAACACAAAGAGTTAGCTACTGCTTATTATGAAACAGAAAAAAAAAGGAAACAGCATTAGATGCCTTGGCTCAATTGCCTGTTGCCAATCAACAAGGAGTTTGGAAAAGAATCGAGAGATGCTTCAACCGATGTCAGTACTCTCCAATCTTTAAAATCCTCACCATGCCGTATTTTTGTTTTGGATTTTACAATCTAAATTTACATTGTCATGAACTGTGATTTAGCTGTGCAAATAACTATGAAAAATATCACTAAATTAGTCCATTTAATTATAAGCAGTTGTGTTCGGCCATGAAGAAGTGGTGAGAAACATATTTTTCTAGTTTATGGCAGCCTATATAGAAAATCGCATCTCTTATTCCACTTAAATTATATCATCCTTTAACGAATGAAGGATCATTTGCTTGCATACCACCAATATATATCATATCAGTATTCTATTAATACTTTCTTACTTCTATTAAGACATAAGAAATATTATCTCGATATTGGTTACTTTGTTTCTTATAATAGATATTAAGAAAGAGTTTCTCAGTTTTGTGAAAATTTTTAAAATTGATTCTAATTTCTAAACATCTGACCTTTGGTGTCTTGTGAGAGCACATAAATGAAGATTATTAAAATATATATATTGTAATATCATGTTTCTAATGCTCCAAAATTAAGTTACACAATTATGGTTAACTATTTGACGCAGTTTACTATTTATAATTAATTGATCGATTCTACATTATCGCAGATTATACGCTGCAATTGCTAGAGAAATACAATGAGGAGACTGTTTCCAATCAACAAGGACTTTGGGAAAAAATCAAGAAATGCATCAATCGATTTTAGTCCTCTCTAATCTTTAAACCCTTCAGCATATATATCTTGATTAGTTCTATTTCACATTTTAAATTTATGCAATAATTAAGTTGCTAATTTATCTTTCACATTTTAAATTTATTGAAATATAGAGAAGCATATTCTTCCCTGTTCTTTAAAATGAACTTTGGTTATTTCTTTCATTAACTACCATCTCAGTTTAATTTTCTGTGAAGTGTTAAAGTTGGTTCTACCAAACTCGTAGTTTTATGCAGTATTGAAAAGCAGTCCCAAGAAATGAAACTACTCCATCGCGTTTGGGAACTAGCTATATCCAGTCCTCACTTTAAGTCAAAAATTTTAGAAGTTGCCCAAAAACAGATATCTGTTGCTACAGAACGAGGAAATATCGAGTTTTTAAAAGTACTTATTCATGGATATCCTGATTTAATATTCCACGAGGACAATAATAATGGGTATATCATATTCCACTTAGTTGTTAAGTATCGTCACATGGACATCTTCCAGACTCTAACATGAAATAGGTTCAGTCAAAGATTTTTAGTTTCCCAAAAAGATCAGGAATGCAACAATATCTTGCATTTGGCTGCGAAGTCGGCACCCAGAACGTCTCCATAGCGTTTCAGGAGTAGCACTGCAAATGCAGCGAGAATTGTTGTGGTTTGAGGTGAGATCTACACCACTTTTTTCTGCACTAAACTATTTCATTGGATCATATTTCATAAAAATATATATTGTAGGAAGTGAAAAAGCTTATGAATCCATTGATGCGAAGCTGAAATTCGTATAGGAAAACTCCTAGAGCTTTATTAGTCAGGAACACCAGAATTAAAGGATGATGGAGAGAAATGGATGAAGGACACGGCAAACTATTGCATGGTTGTGGCAGCACTTACTACCACTATGGTTTTTGTGCAGCTTTGGCTGTACCAGGTGGCCCAGTGACGAGACGGGGACTCCTCATTTCTTAAAAAAAGTTCTTTCAAAATTTTTATTGTATCAGATGCGATTTCACTGGTATTATCCACTTGCTCCATAGGAAGTTTCTTATCCATTCACTTCTCGCTACGCAGAAGAAGATTTCCTTGAGTCGTTGGCAAGAAAGTTACTTGTTGGATTGGAACACTTTTGTTATCAATAGCAGCAATGATGGTAGTGTTTTGTGCAGCTATTTTATTCTTTTCAAAGATGGAGTGGCATGGAGTCCATATTGTTGCTGCAATTGGTTCTTTGCCAGTCATCTTCTTCATTATACAACAAGTGTATCTCTTTATTGATGTGTTGCGTTCAACCTATATAAGTAGCTCTATCTTCAAGCCAGGGGAGGGTGCTCTTTTCTCCTAAAAAGGGAAGGCAATGAAGTCTTAGAAGAGGAGATAACTCAGTGTCTTCAACAAACAATGCTGTAGTTCAGGTGTATGCGTTTAAGATTTATATAGTTGTCCTTGTCCATCAGAACACCACTATTTCGTGTAAATAAATAAAAGGGACGAGCAATGTCTGGTATTTGAAATGCAGTTGAGGGCAATGAATAATGTCACAAGTCTAAAATTTATTGTATTATAAATTTTTGTATGATAAATAAGGGGTAATTATTATTTTTACCCTTCAGTTTCCCTATATTTAAATTTAAAAGTTCCAAGAAAGAATCGAGGATAGATGCATCTATTACTCACACTCCATTATTTCCCTAAAAAGAAACTATAATTTAGGATGTTTCACTTCTACTGCTCAACCAAGGAATACTTTATTTCAATGACAAAATCCTAAAATATTTGAGAAACGAAATCAAATGTGAAACAAAGGGACAAGATTTATTATTTGATTTGAAGTATGTACGTCTTAATTGACTTTATTCTTTCCTTTTTTGCCCTAAAACTGAGAGTACTAAATTAGACAACGATGGACAAATTATTGATATGGTTAATTCAATTTTAATTATTCTTATTCTTTCACAATATTTCTTCTTCACTTTAAATTATGGATGAGAAAATGCGGTTGTTGGTATTACTACTATGGATAAGAAGTTTTGATATGTATACAACTTTGATTCTAGGAAATTAGGATAGTACAAATGATTATATAAAATTTAATAATCATACAAAATTAAGTTATTGATTTTGATCACTTCTTTGGATCGTCAATCTGTGTCCTTAAGAAGCCTCTATTGTACAATGCATGTAATATCATGTTTCTAATCCTCCAAAATTAAGGTACACAATTATGGTTAACTATTTGACGCAGTTTACTATTTATAATTAATTGATCGATTCTACATTATCCCAGATTATACGCTGCAATTGCTAGAGAAATACAATGAGGAGACTGTTTCCAATCAACAAGGACTTTGGGAAAAAAATCAAGAAATGCTTCAATCGATGTTAGTCCTCTCTAATCTTTAAACACTTAAGCATACTTTGGTTAGTTATATTTCACATTTTAAATTTATGCAATAATTAAGTTGCTAATTTATCTTTCACATTTTAAATTTATTGAAATATAGAGGAGCATATTCTTCCCTGTTCTTTAAAATGAACTTTGGTTATTTCTTTCATTAATTATTATCTCAGCTTAATTTTCTGTGAAGTACTAAAGTTAGATCTACCAAACTCTGTAGTTTTATGCAGTATTGAAAAGCAGTCCCCAGAAATGAAACTACGCCATCGCGTTTGGGAACTAGCTATATCCAGTCCTCACTTTAAGTAAAAAATTTTAGAAGTTGCCCAAAAACAGATTTCTGTTGCTGCAGAATGAGGAAATATCGAGTTTTTGAAAGTACTTAAAATCTTTGACTGAAACTATTTCATTGGATCCATATTTCGTAAAATTTATATAATTGTAGGAAGTGAAAAGCTTATGAATCCATTGGATGTTGAAACTGAAAAGAAAGATGGGAAAACTCCTAGAGCTTTATTTAGTCAGGAACACCAGAAATTAAAGGATGATGGAGAGAAGTGGATGAAGGACACGGCAAACTATTGCATGGTTGTGGCAGCACTTATTACCACTATGGTTTTTGCTGCAGCTTTGGCTGTACCAGGTGGCACCAGTGACGAGACAGGGACTCCTCATTTCCTTAAAAAAAGTTCTTTCAAAATTTTTATTGTATCAGATGCGGTTTCACTGGTATTATCCACTTGCTCCATATTAACCTTATCCATTCTCACTTCTCACTACGCAGAAGAAGATTTTCTTAAGCCGTTGCCAAGAAAGTTGCTTGTTGGACTTGGAACACTTTTGTTATCAATAGCAGCAATGATGGTAGCGTTTTGTGCGGCTGTTTTTATTCTCTTCAAAGATGGAGTGGTATGGATTCCCATTCTTGTTGCTGCAATTGGTTCTTTGCCAGTCATCTTCTTCATTATACAAGTGTATCTCTTTATTGATGTGTTGCGTTCAACCTGTATACCTAGCTCTATCTTCAAGCCAGGGGAGGGTACTCTTTTCTCCGAAAAAGGGAAGGCAATGAAGTCTCAGAAGAGGAGATAACTCAGTGTCTTCAACAAATAATGCTGTAGTTTGGGTGTATGCTTTTAAGACTTACATAGTTTGGGTGTAAATAAATAAAAGGGACGAGCAATGTCTGGTATTTGAATTGCAGTTGAGGGCAATGAATAATGTCACAATTCTAAAATTTATTGTATTATAACTTTTTGTATGATAAATAAGGGGTAATTCTTATTTTTACCCTTCAGTTTCCCTATATTAAAATTTTAGAGTTCCAAGAAAGAATCAAGGATAGATGCATCTATGCATATCGCGAAGAAAAAACAGATGAAGATGCCAGATATGCGGGTGCAGGTTAATTTTATTTTGTGAATCTGTTTCTTGTTTATATCTATGGCATAAGCATGTTAGATTTATGTTTCTTGAAGGGTTTAAATCAAGTCGTTTTTGGTCATGACTTAATTTGAGACAGATTTGCCACCCTTTATCTTAATTTTAATCCAATGGTTCAAACATAATTGAACAGAAAACAAAAAACAAATACAAAAAAAATTACATATTACTCAAACTCTATTATTTCCCTAAAATTTCTATGCAATTAATGTTATAATGCTTTTGTATAAATGTCGATAAAGGTTTGTTTAATAGGTCATGACTTGATTTGAGACAAATTTACCACCCTTCATCTTAATTTTAATCCAATGGTTCAAACATACTTGAAGAGAAAAAACAAAAAAAAAAAACATTACATATTACTCACACTCTAATATTTCCCTAAGAAGAAACTCTAATTTTAAGATGTTCCACTTTCTGCTCAACCAAGGAATACTTCATTTCAATGACAAAATCCTAAATTTTTTTGTGAAACGAAATCAAATGTGAAAGAAACATTGAATCAATGGGTCTTTACATCTTAATTGATTTTATTCTTTTCTTTTTTGCCCTAAATTGAGAGTAAGAAATTAAAAAACGATGAGACAAATTATTGATACAATTAATTCAATTTTAAGTATTCTTCACAATATTTCTTCTTCAATTTAAATTATGGATAAGAAAATGTGATTGTTGGTATTACTACTATGGATAAGAAATTTTGATATGTATACAACTTTGATTCTAGGAAATTGGTGTAGTAAAAATGATCACTTATTTAGATTGTCTATCTGTGTCCTTAAGAAGCCTCTATTGTACAATGCGCTCGGATAGCGGTGTCTTGACACGATAAAGCCTTGATAATGATTTGCAATTTATTGTAACGATTCAACCTGTTGCTCTCAACGAATAGGCCACTTTTGTTCCAGAAACAACTTAGCCGCTATCCGAACGCAAACATTCTCGAGTCTACAATCGCGAAATCTTGCTTTAGGAGTGCTCTGCGCATGCGGTTGTCAGGAGCTTTCTGGCTACCACTGTCAGATGGTATTGACTGCCTGTGACTGTCAGGAGGTGGTGCTGGTTTCGGCCATGTCATCGGTGGAACAAGTTCGAAGTTCCTGATGCTGCGTCTCATAAATATTGGAGGAATGCAATTAGGTGATGATGAACTTTCCGTTACTGGTGTTTGAGGAATGTCTTGCTCATAAACTGGACGAATCCCACACTGTTTCACATAACCTTCAGCATACAATGTACCTCTGGCTCTGGAGAGTATATAAGCAGCAGCATGAATGGCTAATACCCCACTTGGCCACTCTCCTTTAAAAAACCGCTTGCTTGAAAAATAGCCCAGCCAAAGGTGGTGATGATCAGACTTCACAGTTTTCGAAGTAGAGATGCTGAATTTGAATTTATAATTCCTTGAACCTATGCTTAAATGGCATTGAATTGTTGTCGCATTTCCTTCATGCGAATAACCAGGAACTTTAAATACCACAGACAAAGCGAATCCCATGAGTTCATTACATTTACTGGATTGTAGTTGGGTGTCTACTGATCTCTGATTACTTCAATCACTAAACCACTTTGAAATTTCGTTTCCAAGAAGACAAGTATGAAATTGAAGAGGTTGATATTGCGAAGATCGATAACAAAATTGAGGATCAGAAAAGCGATTCTGCAACATGAGCCATGATTACCGAGATTCTGCAACATGAGATATATAATGAGTATCAATAATAACCATGCATAAATGAAAAGAGAAATGCTGGAAATAAAGATATGCTACCTGTGGCTTTCTTAAGAGAACTAATTCTGTCACAATCTTTAAAATCAATTAACATAGACATTACTTCTTAATGATCCTACGTGATATTTATATACACACCAGACAAACCATTGCTTCCAAAAAAATTTACCATATATGCAAAGAAATCAAAATAGAATACCTTTTGGTCCTCCCAAGGATATTCAATACTGTGGGGAATAATTTAACGGACAAAACTATCCTTTGAGAGTGTAATTTCTTCCTTAGTTTGGTCAGGAGTTGTCTGTCTAGGAAGTGCTAGTTTTATCTCTGTTATTCGTGGGAGAAGTTCAAAATCAAATTTCCTGAAATTGTGTTTCATAAATACAGGAGAAATGCAATGTGATGAACTTCCCACTTTTGGAGTTTCCTCGATATTGTAACCAGGACCCATATACCCATTGTCTTGCTCGTAAACTAAATGAATCCCACATCCTTTCACTGTACCAATGGGCATCATTGTACCCTCGGATGATACATGAAAGGTAGCATAAACATGTATTTTGCCAGTTGGAAAGTTGTTTAGGGGAAATAACTCACTTGACAAATAGGTTAGCCAAATGTGAAACCAGGGATGGCAAATTTGAAATTGTAATCCATTGAACCTATGCTTAAGAGACCATTTATGATTATCGGGTCTAATTTATATGAATAACTAGGAACTGCGAATACAGCACACATGGCAAATCCCATGAGTTCATCAAACTTGTGGGAAGGTCCTACGGTTTCTACTGAATACCAATCACTTGAATCGCTGAACCATTCTGGAATTTTTCGTTCGGGAAGACAAAAATGAAATTAAGAAGAACGATTACAGAGATCCTACAACATGAAAGAGAATAAGTGATTACTTGAAGAATGATGCAAATGAAGATCATAATGTTGTAATATTCAAGATTATCTACTCACACACTAATAAAGAGAGAGAGAGAGAGAGAGAGATACCTTAAGCCAACGTTTCAGCAACGTAACTTCCAAGCTGTCTATCCTACCATGATTGTCAACCATTTTGAACAATTTAAAAAATGTAGTGCAATGTGTGCAGAAGTGCTTCGTTTCAGTGCACTAGACAATGTTTCCACATCCAACAAGGTACAGTTTTCTACACCAATAAAAATTATTCCTGTAGGAAGCTCTGGCAAAGACTGCAACTTCTGGCACTTCCAAGCATAGAATTCTAAGTTTCAAAAGTTGCTTGCTTTTCGGTAGACTAAAAATATTGCTCTGCTTAAATTTAATTCTTCTAACAAGGATAAGGAGCCAATATCATTAGGGATTGCTCCTTCCAAGAATTGCAATCACCAAGATCTAATATTTTTAGAGAGGAGAAAACTTTAGATGAGGCATTATCAAACCATGGAGTCTATGCATCCACGTAGAGCTAATGTTTAAGGCTCCTCAGCATACAAGGGAGGATGGTACTTGTCTATTGAAGTCCCACTTGCATCTAGCTCCTCCAACATGACTCCCCCAAATTTTGGGGCAATCGTCTAGTTTTGAGCACATAAAGATTAAGAATCTTCAGAGATTTCAAACCGTAGACATCGCAAGGAAAGTTCACAAGGTTTTTACAATGTTTCAGTTCAATACAATCAGCCTTTTGAGAACTCCAACAGAGGGGTGACCTCGAGCAATCTTGTACAACCTTAAGATTAAGTCGCTCAAGGTTGGAACCTTGTAAAATCTGGAGTTCTGATAAGCTTGCAGGAGTGACTGAGATCAATGGCTTTCAACTTCCCAAAAGACTGTAGAATTAAAAAGAAAAAAAAACAGAGAAATTAGTAATAAAAGAATTGGTTTGTAAGAGAGTAATACTACATATACAACATTTCTCATATAACATTAGTGGCAAAATATGATTAGCTGATTTTATATTAAAATTAAATTTTCACCCAATCATCTTTTGCCACATTATGTTGTATGAGAAAATATATGAGAAGTTGTAGTGTAGTATTATTCTTTGTAAGATTACATTTACGCAAAGAAAATAATTATGATATGTACCTTTGTGCCATCCCAAAGATATTCATGTGGCTATACACATATTTAGTTCAAAAGGTCTCTGGGTGGAAGCTTGGAGGAAAAGTCTTGAAGGTAACCTGCCAATCTAGAATTCGCAACTCATTAGATAGGTATTCAAGGTTCTCAGAAAGCTGAAAGTTGTAATTTGGAGTAGTCTCAGATTGCTCATGTTTGAAAAGGATTTTCCATTCAAGTATGTAATTCCCTCCTTTGGCTGGTCAGGATTATACATTCAACAGCAGTGTGTCCCTAGAAAAACAAAAAAGGAAAAAGAATAACTAGTACAGAGAATACCTAGAGTATCATCAACAAAAAAATGTTTGTGCTTTTCATGTTTACTATACTATCTTACGTTTTTTTCTCCAGAACACGATAAATATCCTTACATAACCATAATCTGCTCCATTTGCCAGGCTTATGAGGGTGCTTTTCACGAACAATTTCCCAGCCCATGACTTGTAGCAGATCATGCATCCAGAACTTATCATCTGATATGGCTATTAGTGATTTTTCAACAAGTACTGAATTCCAATATTAGGGTAAAACCCACAAGCATCTAGTATTTCCATTACTCAACCTTTATCCCTCCCTTTCAAGAAGCATGCTGTCTAAGAATATTTGCTTTTCTGTGTTCTTTAGTCCATCGTAACTTATTCTAAGTACTCTCAAAATTTCTTATCAGGATGTTCTTTTAGCCTATCCAAGGCGCTTTTCCATTTGTCAACACTTCTGTCACATAAAAATGATCCACAAATACAACAGCTAACGGAAGGCCTTGTGTGTAGTTTATGAACATGCTTTGACATCTCAAAATGTTCATGTGTAGGTTGTTTATGTTTGAAAGCCTTCATTTGTAAGAGCTCGTTAGCTTCATCATGATCCAATCCTCCAACCTTATAATATATTGGACTCCATGGTACTAGCAAATGTTCATCTCTTGTTGTAATGATGATTCTACTCCCAGATACAAACCAATCAGGTGCAGCAGCCAATGCTTTTAGTTGTTTCTTGTTATCAACATCATCAAGAACCAGCAAAACCTTTTTCCGATGTAGCCCTCTTATTATCAATTGGATTCCTTTCTGAACATCCAATATATTTGATTTTTTACGGAAAAGTACCTCTGACAGAAGCTGTTCTTGTAAACAAATTAGACCTCTATTTTGAGAGACTTCTCTAACATTGGCAAGAAAGCAAGAACCTTCATATTGATCTGATAGCCAGTCGTATACAACTCTAGCAAGTGTAGTTTTACCTATTCCACCCATTCCCACTATGCCAATGAAACGAACATTATTTGACAGTGGCTTTAAGTACTTTATCAATTTCTCGACACGAGACTCTACTCCAACAAGGTCCTTAGGGACATTAATTGGGAATGGAGTATCCAATTTTCGGGATATCATGTTAACAATTGTTTGGATAATTTCAGATTCATGGCTGCGAAGAACAGTAGATGAAACATATAACTAAATTATTATGTTGCAGCTGATATACTAAGAGTAATGAGTTACAACATAAAAATTATAATGACTTTTTTTAAGTCAGAAAAATAGAACATTGTACACGCTTTCGTACAAAATTTGAGCAATAACTAACATGTAGACTAAATTCAACTTTAAAATAGAGATCGTTTCAAATTATTAATGGGTCAACTTTTACTGATCCAATGCTTTGAACCCGAAATATGAACCAATTTGTATGAAATAGTGACTGTATTAATCTCGATCTATCACTTATTCAATTAAAGTAGGTTGTAAATCATATTTGATTATCCATGTATGCTACTTTGGCTAATGTCTGTTTTACTTCATACGATTATATTCCCTTCAAAAGGCTTAAGATAAAACAAAAAGAGAATTAATAAGAAATTTACTTTTGTGCAAGAATTAATAATTTTCAGTACCTGTCTTGCAAATGCTTTCCAGAAAGATTAGTTATTTGAGTGACATCTTATCTCCACCTTTCCACCTTTTGCTTATTCTCCCTGAAACTTTCTTCATGTTTATCAAATGCTTTCTTGAAATCTCCGGTCTGATTCCGTACATCAGATGGATTTACATAATAAAAAATTGGTAAAGCAGTATGTTGCTTCTCCTCTATGCACTCAACAATTTTTGCAAGTTCTTCTAGACACCATGTAGAAGAAACATAGTTTTTGGATAAAATTATGATGGAAATCATGGATTTCTCAATTGCACTCAAGAGCTCAGATGAAATTTCCTTTCCTCTCTCAAGTTCTTCATCGTCCCTAAACGCGAAAATTCCCTTTTGATCTAAGGCAGCATATAGATGGTCAGTGAAATTCTTTCTAGTATCTTCACCTCTAAAACTCAAGAACACATCGTATTTCCATTTACAATTAGAAGAAGAAAGAAATGAAGAGGCCATTGGAAACTGAGTTCTTTAGCTTTGCTTATTGTTATGAGAAATGAGAAAAGCCACTTCACTTCCTTCCTTTGTTAGTTACTTGGTATTAAGTCAACCGATTTTGTTTTTTTAGTCAAAAGTCAGAAACCCGGTACCATGAGCGCCAGCTATACGGCAGATATCATAAAACAGGGATTGTTTTTCCAATATAACCCCTCAACTACTAGGAATAATGAAAAAACCCCCCATCGTCTATAGATGTCAGAAAATTTCCATTACTTTAGACCCTAGTTAGTAAATACGCGTATAAAACGCGTATTCACGTATTTTATAAAAGGCTGTCGAATTATTTGCGAATTATTGGAGTATCTGTATAATTCTTGAATAATTCGTGAATTTTTGAAAAAAAAAAAAACTAATTGAAACAACGTCGTTTTAGTGGCGGAAGAACAAATCAGTGGGTAAGGCGTAAGAGCAGAGATTGGAAAAGGAGAGAATAAAAAAATAACCCTCTCCCCGCCCATTCCCCCACACCTGAGGCCCTACACCTTTACATTTTAAACTCAAAATCAAAAGTTTTATCTTTACATTTTAAACTCAAAATCAAAAGTTTTATAGCTGAATTTTTAAATTAAAATCATTTCAAAAACTATAGTCTAAGTGTCTAACTAGTTTTATGGTCGGAAAATACATTTAAAATCATTTCATATTTTTAAATTATTTTCGTGCTATCTAATAAATTAGATTGGATTAATGATATTAAAATAATAATTTATTGTGAAAAAAAAAACTATAATAATTTATTGTGAAAAAAAAAACTATCATATATTATAGGTATAAAATAATAGTTAGACTATTGTAATACTAATCTTTTATGAATAAGTTTATTTTTACAAAGACTTATACAAAGAAGCCTACAAAGTGAAGAAAAAAATAAATAAAAAATGGAAAAAGAGAAAGAGAGAGAGAGAGAAATCGCGAAGATCAAGGGTGGGGATTGTCTTTGTATGCCCCCTTTGTATTTGTCTTTGTAAGACTAGCACTTCTCATCTTTTATATAGATTTGTGAGACAACATTTTAGTTTTTGATTTAAATAATTTAATGGATTAATGGGAAGTTAAAATTGGTTGCATTTAATATCAAACTTATCAAGTTTTAAATTAGTAAAGAATCATGGCTAAATATTGTGTTTAAGTCTGGAGACTATAATTTAAATATCAGTTATATATTGTATATTTGTGTTATTGGTTAATTGAATACTTTGCATTTGAAATACTATATTGATTTTAGCTAAGTAATCCATAAAAGTATTGAAACTAAGATTGATATTGCCGTATTTTTCAAAACATATTATTGACAATACACCGTATTAAACTCGTATATACCCGTACCGTATTTTTCCCATATCCGAATTTTTATAAACGTATTTTTCACTGTTTGCCGTATTATACCCGTAAAATTCCCTACCCTTTTTTTGTTGTACCCGTATTTACTAACCAGGCTTTAGACAATAAATAAAGAGGCAAAACGGCATAAGAGTTAAGTAATGAGTAAATAATTGATAAACTATTAAAGCCTAAAAACTAAAAAAGAAAACTTTAAAATATAGAAAGCCTAAAGACTGTTATAATTTTACTAGTGTAATTGTAATAAAATATATTAATAGGGATTGAAAAAGAGCAAAATAAACAGGGTGAAATAAATTTATTTTATTAATTCTATTTCTCAATTGAGTTATATATAAAATGAAGGAAATTGACCCAATTTAGAGTCTTTCCTCACCAACCCACCTCCCATGGAGACCAATTTTCCAATGTTATGTGTTTTCAAGTTGGACTTGTATAGGTCATGTGTCTTCATGTGGACTTGCATGGGTCATGTTTCTTCAAGTTGGACTTGCGTAGGCCACATAACAAATTGGTGGAAGTCCACCACTTACAACACTCCTATTTGGACATCCACTATTGACAGATGATTGTATTTAACCTTACTTAAAAAAAACCTAGTGAGATAAAAAATCTATATAAATAAATTCAACTCTACAATGCAACTGTAAAGTGGTGTTGGATGTGCTTCATATTGCCTCATTAAAAACTTTGCTAGGATATAAACAGAGGCTAACTATCTCATTATTTGCATATAACTGAATACTCTCTTTGGTTGTTTGACACGTGGTATATTTTGGAATTCGTAGAATTGTTCTGTCTTGACACATTGGATTGACAATTAGGATTTGTTGTTTAATGAGTCCAACCAAATTGCTTCATCTTGACACATTGAATTTGTATTTATTGCTCCATCTATAATTAATAATTAATAAAAATTATTAGATTTGTATTAATAATTAATAATAATAATAATAATAATTTTAGATGTATTACATTAGCATTCCAAAGATTTAACCATTTTGACACTGGGATGTTGTTATGCCTGAAGAAGTAGGGCTGACGCCGTGCCTTGTCAGCATGGGCAGTCAGAGTTTAGGTAGCCTCTGCAGCGATTCAAACGCAGTCATGTCGCATGCTGACGTAAGCGGCATGCTCCTGCTAATGCAGTGGGTGCACGACAGACTAGCGAATGGCCGGAGAGGTTCCACGTGTCCAATCCCTGCATAAGTCGAGGAAATCACTCGAGCAAGTGAGCAACGGGACATAAAAAAGGATCTGCACGGCAATCTGACCCACTCACAGATTCAATCATCATTACCTCAATTCATCCCACTATAAATAGAGGGTTCCTCTCCCGTTTGTGGAATTAGCTAATTTCTCTCTAGAATAGCACATTCTCTCTCTCTCTTGTACTCTCAAAGCTATAAATCAGCTCGCTAGACGTGACTTGTTCTTACTCATTAATACAACATCAGTGAACGTAGGATTTGCTTGTTTAAGCATCCGAACCACTTTAAATATTGTTCTTCATCTCTTATTCGATCCAATCCCCCATATACACGTGTTTTCTGAGTCAGCTCAACATTTCTCATATGTGATTTGTTGGCGTCAAAATCAAGCATCAACAGTTTGGCGCTAGAGGAAGGACTTGATTTAGTACTTGTTCTTCATCAGGAGAATCTCTGACTAATCGGTTCCACTACAGCAAATGGCTCGTCGATTCAAATCTGAGCAAACCAATCATGGTGATGAAGAGATCCCCCAGGTACAAGAGGACACTTCTCCCGAAGTGCCCTCAGTCCCGCAAAATATCGTGGGGGACATCCCTTCAAGTTCATGGCTTGATCCAGCTGTCATCAGCTACCCGGAGAGGTTCAACAATACTCTCCAAACGGTCAGTCAAAGGCTGGACCACTTCGATCGGGTCGTGCCACCCGAATCAAATAAGGCGGTGCAACTGACAAAAATGCTTGCAGGTCACGTGAAAGCGCTGAAAATGGAAAAAGCCCATGCCGTGCGCACTGTAGCACGTGAAAGAAAGGGTAAGCAAGTGGTGCACGGCAGACATAGAGGCTCTGAGGGGCCAGCGAATACCGACCACACCCCGGGTAGAATACCCTTGGCATTAAGGCTCGGTAACATGTCGCGACGTGAGCTGTCCCGTGCCACGTCGCGTGAGCGCTCCCACAAAAGTGCAAGGCGGGGAGATTCCCATAATCGCCAAGGTGACGACTTTGATCGTCATCGAGCGAGAGATTCCCACCCTCCACGGGTCGGTTCGTACCACCGCAGAGGTTGAGAACGTTCTCCGAATCATTCAGCGCCATCACACGACTCTAGCTAGCGTGTGTCGAGATTGGCCGAGACTGCCGACCGAAGTGAGGAGGAATTCGACCTATAGTCATTCCTCAATCGCAACAGTGAGGGTCGAACCCACGTTGTGGAAAGTGGTCCCTGGGTGGCTCCGCTACCTCACATTGAGGAGCTACAACGAGCACTGGATCATCTAAAGGCTCAGCAAAATGAGCAAGGGTAGGTCATAGAGGCGTTTCCCTTTTCTCCGACGGTGTTAGCCGCCCCTCTCCCATCAAGATTCAGAATGCCCGATATGCGAGCATTCGATGGGAATTCTGATCCGTAGGATCATCTATATGAGTTCAACGACCTCATGGAACTCCACCAAGTCTTTGACTTGGCAAAATGTCGTTGCTTGGCAGTAACTTTTACTTCTCACGCCAAGCGATGGTTCAGGTCGCTCCCAATAAGATCTGTCAGCTCGTGGCCTCAGATGAGCTCAACATTCCTAAGACACTTCCAAGCAAACAGGAAGTTCTCGATGCCTCTGAGCTACCTCAGCAACATAAGGCAAGAGAGGGACGAGTCCCTCCAATCCTATATCTATAGGTTCTACAAGAAGTCCATAAAGTAGCTCATACTCCCGAGGAGTCCGTGCGGACTCTCATCATCACAGGAGTTCGTCCACAGACCGATCTATTGAAAGAGCTGTAGTCAGAAGACAATGTTTCCTTCACCCGCTTCTACAGTCTCACAGAGAAGTACCTCCACATTGAAAACTCTGTGGCGGCTCTCAACCGCCATGACTTCGGTCCTTCGGGCAGTGCATCTACTCGAGGGGAGAATAGGAGGGCTGATCGCCGATGGGCTAACGAAGATCAGTGAAAAGGAAAGAAACAGCGATATGAGCCCAAGAAATCCTATGCCCTAGTTCCTCGTCGCGATCACGACAAAAGTCAATGTGCCCCTCTGAATGCCTCGGTCTTAGCTATCCTTGACAAATCGGAAGAAGTTGGCCTACTCGGGGAGCTTGAACCCATGAAAAATCCCCCTTCAGCCAGAAACAGTAAAAAGTATTGTCGTTACCATCGGGATAATGGGCATCACATCGATGAGTGCCGAGCCCTTAAGCAAGCAATTGAAGACCTCATCAAGTAGGGGCATTTCAAATACGTCGATGAATCTATTCCTATGCGGAGAAAAATCAGGAGGAACAGGGAAAGAAGCGTCGTGGTCGCAAGGGTATTTGCAACATGGGTATCATCTTTGGGGGGCCACAGCTCGCAAGAAATTCGCGAGGTGCCTAAGAAAGGTATGCTCGCGCAGCCCACCATGAC